CACACACACACAGACACACACACACACACACACACACACACACACAGACACACGCACACACACACAGACACACGCACACACACACCTTGCATCACAACAGCGCAATACATGTTGTAAAAATACAACAATGCAATATTCAACCATTTGATTCTGACAGTATTATTAAACATAATCTCTCATTATCGCAGAGCCCTTCATGCCATTAAAATAAAAGACACAGTCTTATGTTTTGTAGAGCTGCAGCATGAAGCATCGAGCTAGTCCTCATGTAAACACAGCATATGGACACAGTTTAAGGGTGTTTTATCATTTTAATAATAACACGTCTCATAACGTGTTATCGATCTGCCACTAATTTCTAGAGGTTGTCTTAATAACAGTAAGCTAAAAACATCACATAATCCATTAACTAAAGATACCCTGGTTTCTAATGCTAGCTGTTAGCATTTAGCCTCGTCGCTCGTTTTCATCCATTTTTATAATCAAAAACATCTTCCACACTCACATTAAGCACTGTAATAGTCCACAGGCCCATCTCTGGAGCGGCGTTAACTCCATTTAATGACGAAGTTGTGAGGAGAAATGGGATAAAACAAAGCAAACGGCTGCTGATCCGTAACCACCGGCGGCTACTATCGGTCATGTTTACTGTCCAGAGAACTGTCCAGAGACGCTCGCGCGGACACACACACACACACACACACTTGTGCGCGTGGCACGACACGTCATGCCGTCAAAAATCGGATGGTGCGCGTATTTTTTATTTTTTATTTTTTTATTTTTTATTATTGAAGAAATTATTGAACATTGCAATAAATTTGAACAATCAAATCCACATACACAAGAAAGAAGAACAATCTTAATCTGTAAGACAGCATTTAAGAGAAGAGAGAAAGAAAAAAAAACTAAAATAAAAATAAATAAATAAAACATACATATAAACAACTAAACAACAGTTCAAATTATCTTCCTTCTTCCTTAGGACAAAATCAAGGACTACAGTGGGGGAACTATACCTACAAGAAAAAAAATTCCTCCGTGAAATCTAACAGTATGTCATTCTTTTTGTTTTTAATTTGCATTAGAGACTCTTTCAAAGATTAATTTCTAATAAAAAAAAATATTACATTTTGGTATGCATTTCGCAATATTTTTGTTTATGAATGTAATATTTACCTTGCAAAATGTAAAAGTTAAGGACATAGGCAATCACTTTGCTTTTGTGTGAATAAGTGCAAATAACATCTTTTAAAGAGAGCATGTAATTAACACTTCTTTGAACAAATAAAAAGGCACTAACATCAGACCAAAATCTAAAAGACTAATCACAATTATAAAACAAATGAGACAAGTCTTCCTCATGAGCGTTACAGAGAATGCAATTAATGTCAATGTCCATGAATTTAGAAAGAGCTATGGGTACATTTTGTGAAGTATTTGGAAATGTTGCTCTTTAAGGATGGTGCGCGTACAGTACACAACAAGACACCAGGGAAAGAAATTATAGATCAATATTTCTATGAAATATGAGATATTCTTATGAAAATGTTGCCAAGTTATTACTCCCATTATAACACTCCTTTTTTCATTATGGTTTGCCCCAAGAACACATTAATATGCAAACTATATGCAGTGTATAGATACATTGAATAAAATGGGAATATCAATTTATGGACATTTTACGCACATATTGCATAAAGTAAAATAATATATCAAATCATTCTGTTTTATCTTTCATAACATAGGCTAGTTGAGAATCAGCTTTGTACAAAGTTTGGTTAAAAATAGTCTGAAACCTAAAAACTGACTGGTGAACGAAAAAAATATAAAAAATAAATCATGCCTATACATGCCTTTTCATGTCTATTTATTTTTTATTTTATTATTATTTTTTTTTTATAACTTTGTCCTGACGTCCTCTAGAATAAAATATATTTAAAAAAAATTTTTTTTTTTTGTCTACATTCGTTTCTTAGGCTCCTTTTTTTTTTTTCATTTGTTTGTCAGCAGCAGGAGATGGAAATAACTTGAGTCAGTTATTAAAAAAGAAATGGATAATTTTACCTTGATTTATTTAATATTGTAATGCCTGTAAATAATAACGTTTATACATTATTGATTTATTTAGAAATTAACAAATTGCTTTAAAACAGGGTTGAAACCCTATGGAGATAGTAGTTTCACCTTATAACTTCAATATCTTTTTTTAATGGTTGTGCAGATTGCCTCATAATTTGGGTATGGTCATATCTACTGAGTTCACTTGACTTTGTAATGCTATGGCATCTAGAGACACATAAGAAGATCACTAGCCCAATGTAAGCAATGGTATAAAAACACTGGGCGGGCTTCTGCCTTTCTGCCACTGAAATCATAAGTGAACAATATTAATAAATGGCACATTCTGACTATTACTAGACAACATTTCAGATAACATTTATGGCAGCACTTCAAAGCAAACTTTATTTTGTTAGCAGTATTTAATAAGACATTGTTCATAATGGCAGTAATTAATTGCACACTCTCAATCTCAAATGAATGCAGATATCACTACTGTACCTCAATCAGAAGCTACAGTAATAAAATACTTCACATTTAAACACTTCTGTAGATTCCTCTAAAGATTCTGAGTTTCTTCATGTCAGTTTAACTTCCAAGTTAAAATATAAAAAACACTATATAAGAAAAACAGCTTGTTCTTTATATTTACAAAATGCATTTCTAATATACAAATTGGATTCTATGCAAAAACAAAGTTCACATGATGCTTAAAATCACAATTTAGCTTAATTTTATAAATCCTGAACACAATTACATTATATTACATAACAGTCTCTTCATCACTTCAGAAAAATACAGGGCTTGTTTTCAAACATTTGTAGCGTCACAGTTTTGCGGTCTGTACGTCAGCATGCATTAAGGCAGAGACAACACCATGGTAAAGCTTTCAGACAGGGTCCACCAGGTGAGTTTAGGGTCCATCGTGTTTCTGTGCACTGTGAAATATGTGAGGTCAAACATGCAATGAGGTTTTATTCACACTGCACTCGATTTGACATTTTGCACGAGATGAAATCAGAGATTTGTTGTCGTAGCTATTCACAGACACTACTGTTCAAACACTTGGAGTTGGTAAGATTTTTAAATGATTTTGAAAGAGGTCTCTATATTTGACCAAAAATACAGTAAAAACAGTGATATTGTGAAATATTATTACATAATAATTAATCCTCTGCAGTGAATGGGTGCCTTCAGAATGAGAGTCCAAACAGCTGATAAAAACACAATAATCCACACGTAATGCAAGTAATTCATAAACGGCATGTCTGTAATTAACAGATCCATAAAGATGTTTTTAACTTTAAACCATTGCTTCTGGCTAAAATATGAGTTCATAATCCATAATATTGCTTTCTCCAGTAAAATGGTTGTGTTGTCTGAATCAGGAGAGAAATGTGCACAGATCAAGCACTGTTTACAAGCTAAAACAGATCTAAATAAATATGCCTTGATGGATTTGTTTCTTACAAACACAGCTTTTGGCTACATAAGACATTAACTGATGGACTGGAGTGGTGTGGATTATTGTGATGTTTTTATCAGCTGTTTGGACTC